TTGTTAGATTTATATGTATGTGCATGTACACACACGCAAAATAGCAGGGTAATCACAAGATTCATGTTTTTTTTTAAATCGAATTCTAACAGTAAAGAGTATCAAAACTACTGGATTATTAGAAATTAGGAAATGCAATGTAAAAGAATATATTTAATTAAAGGAAATAGGTAATTCCAAAAGAGGTGACAGTCACTAATAAGAAGGAGTCAATTCAAAACTACAATACAGCTAACACATGAATTGGCTTTAATGCCAGGTTCTATTTTCCAGGTGGTAGCCTACAAGATTGAAAACAGAATTGTCTGGCAGGTTTTAACTTTTTCAGGACAGAATAGTATCTGTGTGTACAGGTAGTCCTTGCCTTATATCAATAACTGAGCCCGGAAATCTGGTTTTGAGTCATTGCATCATTAAATGGCCATGTTGGGTATCTTAGGGGTTGAGGGAGGCCCTGGCATCCACTGGCATGTAGAAACTCTGAGCGTCAATGTTTCAGAACCCTGAGGTTCAGAGATTTTAGTTTTCTCCTCCTCCTCTTCTGCTCCTTTTGCTACCATTCTTCTCAATGGAAATGCCCAAAGACTTTCAGAACAGCAATAGCATTTAAAACTTATGTACTGCTTCATAGAATGCCAGTTTTGCAAGTATTTTCACCAGATTTGAGGTCTGTTCCTTCAGTGCATGGGAGAATTTCTGCTCCCTGCACCGAGGGGAGGATTAAATAGCGACCACATGATTATAAGGCATCTGGCAACTGGTTGTAAATGCAAACAGGTTGCAAGCACTGGAAATGTAGCCCTATGACTAGGAGGAAGAAGAGGGGGAGTGTGACGCAATGTCTTACAATGCCTTTATGGGCCGTACAGAAATATATAAAGAAATGACATCCAATGCTGCACAAACATTATTAATTTTGTATGGAAATCTCACCATTTAAACAATTATATTGTTGTTTAAGTGGGCTGTATAAATCTGGGAACATTTTGAATTTTTATATGCCACTAGATGCCAGTCTATTTTATATGCTAGTCTATAACCATTTAGAACAATGGTTTTTGATGTAACATATTCACTTATAATTGAGAGTACTGATTTTAATATGATAAGTTATAGAAAAGTGCAGACTTTTAAAGTGTGGCTGTTTACATCAACTGCTAAGTGTCGGCATTTTTTCCCTACACTTTGAAGCAGGATTACTTTGGCCTCCATTTCACCCTTCTACTTTTCAAGAAACCAGCATTATTCTATGCTACTGAAAAAGAGGCTTACAATATGCAACTGTCTAAAAGTGATGCTGATAAAGAAAGCTGCTAAATACGTCTGAAAGTGAATCTAAGAGTTACAGACTCTGAAAGTAATGAGGTGTATTGCTTGGTACAAATGTATCTTGAGTCAGGATAAATTTTTGTAACTATCTGTTGCGAGTGAAATATTTCCCTTCCTTTTCTCTTATAAACAGACAAAACTTAAATAGCTAGCATTTCCCCTGCGAGGCAGTATAAAAGGGATAAAATCTTCAGTCTTCCCTGATATGAAAGGAAATATCGTAGCACTTAATGGGAATTAGGGAACTCCAGAGCCAGGGCTCTAATTGTGTGCTAACTTGTTTGAGTAGCTTAGTGGGAATATGAGCACACAGATCCCAACATGCACCTGATTTATCCTGCATGCGTTCCTTGATCCAGCAACAGATGTAAATGCAGAAGTCTGCTCCAATGTGGACAGAAGGAATAGGGGTCAACATGCTCAAAATTGCTCAATAATTAAATAAGTTCATTATGAAAAGGGTTTAATCCATCAAACATCTGTTGTGATATCTGTCAATATTTCAAACTATGAAATCTACATCCTTCTCTAAAATATGGGGGGGGGAGATGGTGGTGCTTATGCTTAAAAGGTCTATGTTGCCTTTCCAAATCACGTTTTCACTGTATAATTTAAAATACATTAATAAAGTACATTAAAATTACATTGTTACAATTCAGATAAAAAAAATAACATGTACAATAAAAATGTTTAATAAAATATAGGTACGATTTGACGTACAATTGTAATGAGCCTGCTTATTATGTATGTGGTTCCGGTTTATGACTTTTCCTGCAGCAGTCGTTAGGTGAATCACCGCAGTTGTTCAGTGAATTGTAATCATTAAGCATGGGGTGCTTTTGCTGAAAATTGGAAATGCCACTTTTTTGAAAAAATGACATAAAACGCTGTCATGTGACCACGGGATGCGGCAAATGATCATGGAGGCTGTATTGCTGAGCGCCTGAAGTTTGGTCATGTGATGGTGGAGGTTGTCTGACCATTGGGTTTTTTAAATTCAGGCGGTAAGTCTGTTTTTTTGAGGTTAAATGTAACTTTGAACAGTCCCTAAGTGATTGGTCATAAGTTGAATACTACCTGTATATCATTAATATATTTTTAAAAGGGTTAAAATATATATTTGTCAGCACCAGATACCTTTGACTGAGAGGATAGGATAATTTTAACTAAAAAGTATGTAAGTGGACAGCACAGTTAACTAGCTTCACAATGACTCTGTTGAATGGCTTCACTGGATTGGTCTCATGAATACATGGCTTTTTTATAATTATTACTAAGGGGTATACAATTGCTTAGCACTGATTTGATTTGATATCATTATTTGGATACTATTATGTGTTAAAATCCAGTTGAATACATTAGGGATAGTTTTAAATGCAGTCATGTAGAAGGATTAAAAGAAAGATACTGCTGGAAGAATGATAATACTACGTATATATAGATAACAATAAACTAGCTAGTGCCTGAAGCTCTATTAATAGCTGTTTTCCATGAATGGATTTTTTATATGAGAATATCAAAATTTAATAAAAATTATAATCATGAAATCCAATATAAACTAAACTCAAAGAAAGAGGATAAAGTGCAAAGGAAAAGCAAAAAGAGAAGTAAAAAGTAAGAAATATAAAATATATGCAAAGGTTACTTCCAATATTCATCACAACTATAAACAAATTTTACACTCTACCACATCTAAGGTTACAATTATTTCTTCATTCCATATCCCATTCTCATCTATAAATAAATCTATTTAACATCATGTTTTCTCATGTATGCATGTGTCTCAATAAAAATGATAATTACAGTAACGAACCAATGCATTATTGATCTATTCTTATCCAAATTGTGTTAATTGTGCTCTGTACTGTCTTGATGTTCACCTCATTTTGTTAACTTTATTAAATTAGCACTCAATAGATACCTTTCTCATCAAACTCGATTTGATGATTTGATTCTTCCATGAGGACCACAGAGTTGAGCCAAGAAGCAAATTAAAAAAGTGCCCTAGTAGTGCAGTGGTTAGAAAGCAGTATTGCAGTCTAACTTTATTCACAGCATGGAGTTCAATCCTGTCGAAGATTGTTTCTCAACCTCAGAGTGAGCTCAGAGTGCTCTAAAGTCAGAGAGCTACTGCTAAAAGGTCATCAAAAATTCCCAGCCTCTACCTTACATTTACACTTGCTACCATTATCACGAACTTGTGATTGTGCTACTTGACAAACAATTTATATAGGGAAAAAGAAAAAGAGCTCATAGATTAGGATTCACTTTATGAAAAAAGACAATGCCTCTTTGAAAAATATGACAACAATTTTTCCCTCTGTGAGTAGAGTGGGAGAATAACTTACTGTGTCAGTGAAAAATGGACCAATACGATAAAATTTATGCCACCTTTTCTATCTGGAAGACAAGGCTTAAAATTTCTTCCTCTCCTAGGCAGGAAGCTCTGTCCCTTCAACCACACGCATTGATTTTAACGTACTTTTCAAAGCAGAGGGCACTCTAGAAGAATAATACTATGTATGTATAACAATAAATTAGCTAGTGCCTGAAGCCATTTTAACAGCTGTTTTCCATGAATGATGTTTTTATATGAGAATATGAAAATGATATAATTAATATTAACTCATCTATTAAAAATAGAAAATTAATATACTACCAAACAGTTCAAATTGGAAATTCCAGAGTTTTTACTCTTCATGATATGAGAGATAGGTTGCAACTTTACTCTATTTGAAGCTAAATGCACAACGGAATTCTTTCAGAAATCTCTTTACAATGAACAGGGCATTCTTATCACTCTGGTCCAGCACAAGATAAATTACTTTTCTGCAAATACTTTATTAATGTGCTAATAAATATTAAATTATTACTAAATTATTACTACGGAGGCTGTGCCCGGCCCTTTGGGCGCCCGCTTGCAAGAGAGCAGCCACCCGGCAACCCCAAACCAATAGCCCCCCCCGATAATAAGGCCCAAGCGAAAAAATTTTTTTGGGGGGGGGGCAAAAGAAAATAAGACCCTGTCTTATTTTCGGGGAGACACAATAGTTGGCTTCTCCTCAATGTCAGCAAGAACAGTTACATAGTTCATCATAAGCCATAATGGAAATATTCAGTTCTGAAATACAACAGATATTTTTCTCCCTTCAGATAGGAAAAATACTCTTCAAATACATTGTAACATGCACCGTAAACACATATATTTATTACAATATCAACAAATAGTTGGTTTTTGCCCCGAGGAGCAGGTATTTTGTATTTATTTTGTATTTTATATTTTATTTTGTATTTTATAATTAGCTATTTAACAAAATCTACAAACACATCCCATAAACAGCAATTTACTCTTGATATGCTAACAAATGGAATATGTTCAGCTTTCTCTTCAGCTGATTGTATTTAGTCTAACAACTAACTGATTGAATTTCATTTTGCTCAAACTTAACACTGTCCCTGTTACAGATACAGAAAGACTGCTAGCTGACTCATGTTTGACCTTGAAGTATTAGAAAAATCGGTATGTTTTAACAAATGATGTCAACAAACGTTTGTTGCCAAAAATTACAGTATTACAATTTAATAAAAACTTTCAGCATAAATAATATTATATCACACAAAAGTTAAAACAAGTTTTAGCTAAGATATTTAAACATAACAATGAAACCTACCTTTCTAATTTCAGATTGAACTTCTTCTTGGCAGCACTTTCTGCAGGATGGATCCAACTGATTCAAGCCAAATTGGCCAAGAAGATCACAAGAACTGCACAGCAAATTGCTGGAAAAGCCAAAATCTCTGCATGCCTCCGATGATAATTCTGCTCCATAAGCGGATATCTGAAATCAAGTAATTCCTTTAACATAGGTGTTTGTAACATTTCAGTATCAATAGTAAAAATTTCCAAATACTATATTTTCAAGGTTGTCCATTTCCCATTGCAAACCAGAAAACCTACAATTACTCTTTTGAGAGGACTCTGGTAAGTGGGAAGCATATTCACTAATTCATTTATTTGATCTGTGAGGATTATTGACACAGGGAGTATTGTATTTATCCTGTCTGACAAGTTTGCAATCTGTACTCACTATGACTTGTTCCCTTTTAGTTTTGCTCAATATATGAGCTAAGAGCTCATAGTGGTTTGAGAATCAACTTGTGGCAGCATATATTGGAAAGCTCAACTTTTCACAATGGTAACATGAATTTGTGCAGAGGTGTTAAGTTCTTGATTTAGCAATTACATATTTATCTTGTTCCTCATAGGAGCACATCTACTGGTATTTTTTTTTATTTTCATAATTGCCTTGCATGTCAAATTGGGTTGAGGGCTAGTGAGTAGATGAAATTAATCCAGGAAGGTTTTTTTTTTTTTTTGAATATGGAGCTTTAAACTTGCCATTACAAACGTTTTCACTACCACTACCCCCAAGTAAGGGTGAAAAAATGTGAATTTACGCAGTTACAAAGGCTTCTAGGATGGGTGTATCAAGCCACAAAACTCTAGAATTG